GAAGGTGGTCAGAAATCATTAGTGAGAAAAAAAAATTCAAAAAAGACTATGAGCTTATCATCTTCTAGCCCTAGTCATCCCCAAAGGTCCACAAAACAACCACTAGCTTTTACTGAACCCAAGTAATGGAAGGGAAGGGAAAGAGAAAGACCATCTACCTCCCTCCCTAAGAATTTTTCTCTTGAGGGAAGAAGACAGATGGAGATATATATATATATATATATGCCTTTTTGAGACAGGGTGTCACTATGCAGTTAAGGCTGGCCTTGAAAAGCTGGCCAGATAGCTTGGTGGATTAAAGCGCCTGCTTGGGCAGACACAGGGGTGGCACGTGCCTGTAATCCCAACGTTTAGGAGGCTGACAAACAGGAAGCATCACTACAAATCTGATTTGTATAGTGAGACCCTGTGGACCCTGTACCAAATACGTGTATTAAAAAAAAAAAAAAAAAGCTGGCCTTGAGCTCATTTTGCAGCCTAGGCTGATCTCAAATTCCTGCCTCAGCCTCCCAAGTGCTGGGATTATAGGTGTGTGCCACTACGACTGGCCAAAGATATTTTAAAATTCTGGTTTGGAGATACGGGATGTGAGATACAATCATTATTTTTCCCCTTCTAAGAAAACTTCAGTAAAAACTGACATTACTCATCAGTGCTTTGATAGTTGGATTTGAGGGGTTTCTCGCTTCTTTAATGTGAGTCTGGCCTCCAGATCCAAGAGCACACATTTTTACCACGTTCACTAAGATTTCTGCAGTAGCAGAGGTCACATGACAGGAGCCTAGACCTGACAGTTTAGAGCTACACTAATGCATCTCGTCTAGCTAATTAAAAATTTAAAATTCAGTTTCTCAGTCTCACCAGCCAAATTCTAAGCAATAAAAAGCTACATTTGTATATTGGTTACCAATTGGACAGCTCAGAAAACACTTCCATCATTGCAGAAAGCTCTACTGAACAGTGGAGAAAGCTTTAAAAAATTAGTTCACAAAAAACAAGTAATTTCCAAATCTTTGAAGAGCTGCCATGCCAGTCCTGGTGCTGCCCACCTGTAATTCCAGGACTCAGGGAAGCTAAGGCAAGAGGATCACAGGCCCAGCCTGGGAAATTTAGTGACCCAGAAAGACCTTGTCTCAAAATAAAAATACTTTAAAAGGCCTGAGGGTTAGCCTAGAATGAATATATGCATATGTGCATGTGTGTATGTGTGTGTATTCTGATATCTGTGTATACAATATTCATGCACGTATGATAGCAGCTTTGTCTGTAAGCATTTAGGAACCTGACGCCAGGAGTATAAAATTTATATAATTATACAATGCGTAGCACAACACCAAGCTTAGTCACTCAAGTAGACTTTACAATGACAGCCCTTTCATGTTTCTAGATACAGAGTATTGGGAGAAGTTAACAAAGAAGATGTAAAATTGTGAACCTTTTAAAATAGGAAAAGTAATGGAAACTTTATCTTTTACAGTATCTGGAAGAATTTTATTATTTAATTTGGTACAGAGTTTCACCATGCAGCTCAGGCTCATTGTGATCCAGTGCTGGGATTGCAGGCGTGCACCACAATGCACCACAACACTTGGTCTCAGTCACATGCTCAGTGTGCTGCGGGGGGCGGGGGGGGGGAGTTGTCGAAACAAGTGGTGCAGGGGATTGAACCCCGGTCTCTGTGTTTGCCTAAGTAGACACTTAGTCTGCTGAGCTATCTTGCTGGCATCCTTGAAGAATTTTAAACACATGAAAAAAGGCAAAGCTTTTATGAAACCAAACATAATGGAAACAGTCTAGCAAATGAACAGAATTGTGTGTGTGTGTGTGGTACCAGGAACTGAAATCAGGACCTTGTGCTTGCCAGGCAGGCACTGGGCTGCTGAGCTATATCCCAGCCCCTAGAATATGAAAAAAGGTAATACAAGAGGAAGAAGAAAACAGAAGTAGACTGCACAGAATAAACTGAAGCCTGGCCTTTTAAAAACCTGTAGTCTCTGGACCAGTGAGATAACTAGCAGGCTAAAGTGCCTGCTTAGGCAAGCTTAGGCAAGTGCAGGGACCTAGGTTCAATCCCTGGCACCACCTGCTGCGCCAGCCCAGCCCCCAGGGAGTCTGGATGTAGTGGAGCACGCCTGTAATCCCAGCGCTGGGGAGACTGAAAACAGGAGGATCACTATGAGTCTGAGCTGTTAAGTGAGACCTTGTAACAACCAAATACATTAAAAAATAAAAAACAAAAAAACTATGGTCTCATCAAAGAAAGAAAATTTCAACAAGAGAATGTCAAAGATAGAAAACACCCAGAAAGGACTGTGGGCTTAAAAAAGCAATGAAATATTGGTGTATGTTGGCAAAGATAGAGATGAAGGGAGGGAGAAAATTTATAGTAGAGGAACTTGGTGTGAAGTTTTCCTCTAAAGATGCCCAGCAGAATAAAGGAAGCAAAGGAACTGGGAATAAGGCCTGGGTGGGACTGAAACAGCACAGGAGAGAGCAACAGGGCTCAGGAAGGAAATCTTTTCTTCATTAACTGACCCAGAATTTATTTGGAAACAAAAGCAACTGTATAGTTTAAGGATCTTTAAAATATACTATAAGGGTTCTAAACTTCAAATTTGCCTTTGGAAGTATCATGACAATCTGTTCGTCTCTGAGATGAGTATCAAGTACTATTTTATAAATCAGACTAATAAACTGCAATGTTGTAGAAACACTGTCATGAATTAAACAGCTATAGCTTTATCAGCCATAGGGTAAATAAAAAAACTATGGTTACATGCCGGCCCACAGAAAATAATAAGTAACCTAAGTAACCTGTCTCTCCACACTAGAACCCAGTGACCCCCTTCTTAAGACATGCTTTAAATGGTCCAGGATATATAGAGCACCTTAAAAACCATGGGCGGGGGGAAGCTAAGGTTAAAAATAGATGAATAGCTGGAAGTGGTAGTGCAAGCCTATAATTCTAGCACTTGACAGGTTGTGAGGCAGGAGGATTACCATGGGTTCGAGGCCAGTGTGGCCTGGGCTATATACTCATATTGAGAGCCTGTCGCAAAAAAAAAAGAAATACAAGAAAATAAAGTGAGCACAAGGCCAACTGCATAGGGAGACCCTGGAGAGAGAGAGAGAGAGAGAGAGAGAGAGAGAGAGAGAGAGAGAGAGAGAGAGAGAAAGTAGGAGTATGACACTGACAGACAAGAACTGAGGCCTTGACAAGAACAGGCTCCAGTCAGTGAGCAAAAACTGGAACAAAATTTCAACATTGTGTAATTAATCTCAAAAGCCTACAAAGTTTTAAATCAAGTATTAAAGGAGATTTTTTGACTTTTCAAACTTTATTTCAACTTAGCTTTTAAAGCTCAAGGAAATTATGATAACTAGAACCATGCAATTCTAAACGACCATAAAAACGAGCACATTAGTGCTCTTGGGGGGAGTGGGAGCAAAAGTTAGTGGACAGGAATGCTAGATTCATAACCCTGCATGTGTGTGTGTGTGTGTGTGTGTGTGTGTGTGTGTGTGTGTGTGTGTTGAGGGGGGATTTGGGATTCAACCCAGGAGAACTTACCACTGAGCTATACCCCCAGATATCCCACTGCCATGCTCTTAAATTTTGAGACAGATCTCCAGAAGTCATACCCTCTGCCGAGTTCCAACTCAGGTCATTCATCTGCCTCACTCACCCAGTGTGCTGGTATTACCAGGCTTTAATGACCTAGCCACAGCTGTATCCCAAAAGCCCAGCTCCCACTACTCCCTAAAATCTACCCTCACTGTCCCCAGAGACCTCACTATGCCACTGGCCAATTGCCCACCTGATAGGAATCTCTCCTTGCAGGAGTTTGTGTTCTCATAGGCCAACCTGGCCGGTTTCCTTCCTGTTACACCAGTTTGTGGGCCTCCCCCAACCGTTTCCGCGACCCCTTTCCCTCTATTCCATCTTCCAGTGGCTTCCTCCTGCCCTCAAGATTCTCCTGGCGGCTTTCTCTCCACCGGCCTCCATTCTGTGTGCCTTGGGTGCACCAAGGCAGAGGGCCCTCGGTGACCTCTCTCCGATATTTCGTCTCCCTAGGACTCCCCAAGGTCGCTGCTCTCGGCCTCCCAGTGAGAGCCGGTGAGGTTGGGGTGACTCACCGGAGGGGGAGGGCAGCCGCCAGCCTAGGGGACCGGAATTCGCTCACTTCCTCGCCCCAAGCACCTGCCCGCACCATGCCGCTGCTGGAGTGCAGCCTGGCCGGGCCTCCGGCGGATGTTTTCCTTGTCCCAGACAGTGAGCGCCAAGTGAGCTCCTCCCACCCTGCGGCCACCAGAGTCCCAAACAGCCGCTCTCCCGGGAACCCTAGACTGGGCCCGAACCACTGAAATCCCCTACACACACTCGGTTAAGAATTTAAATCCTCGACCGCCAAGTGTGGGAGAGGTATGCTTGCTCAGCCCAGCTTCTCCATTTCTGGAAGGCCCCCATGCCTAACTCATCCCCCTTCAGGTCGCTAACCCTCGCTTCTGATGTTACTCAAACACACCGAAGTCCAAAGGGCTCCCTATCACCTTGTAGTATTACCATCCCCTCCATTCCCTCTGGCTCCTCACTCAGGCCTACCCCCAGGTTGCAGAAGGCATTCCATAGCCCAGTCTTCTGGGCATCAGGGGACACCCACGCCCAGCCCCACCCAAAGAGAGCAACAGAGCTCTCGACCTGGGACAAGTCTTCTCATCTCCGTGTTTCTCTGGTCTAACAACCCTGCTCCAGCTAGGCGGGCAGTGTAAGGTAACGCCTCCCACTCACCAGCCTATCTCAGGCCACCCTGATACAAATGTTTTCCTTTTTTCATGGCCCTCCTAAGAAGGGAAAGGCTACCTTGGAAGACATCGAAAAAGTCTGAGGTAGGGGCTGGGGAGGTGGCTCAGTGGAATAAGCGCTTCCCTGGCAAGGGCAAAGGGCCTGAGTTCAATCCCCAGTTCCCCAAAAAAAAAAAAAAGAAAAGAAAAAGAAAAAGTCTGAGGTACACTGACAGTCGATTCTGAAGGAAGAGGCAACAAGCAGGATAGCCCTCTGCAGAAGTCTGCCAGAAGTAGCTGTACCTGAGGCACCAGGTGACAGCGAGTGTCTTGCAGTAAATGAGTAGGCACTTAAGGAAAAAGAGAATAAATACCAAAGTGATTCTCCTTGTAGGTGGGAGGGGAACAGCTGGAACATGTCCCTCTGTACAGAAGGACATAAAAAGTGAAACATCCAATTTGATCAGGGTCCGTAGCACCAAAAATATGGCCAACAATGGAGGGGTCAAAGGGGAGAACTGAGCCAGGCATGCTGGTACATGCTATAATCCCAGCACTCTTGGGAGGCTGAGACAGAACTGAAAATTTGAACCCTGCCCAGATAACATTGTGAGTTCATGTGAATGGGGATGAGAAAAAATGGATCAGAATCCTAAGGAGGAAAAAGGGGCAGTCCTAAAATTGGCTGCAAAAAGGATGAGAGGCCAGGCATGGTGGCACAAGCCTGGAATTCCAGAACTCAGGAGGCTGAGGCACAAGGATCACTGCAGATTCTAGGCCAGCCTCGAGTACATAGTGAGAGCCTGTCTCAAAAGAAAAACAAACAAACAAAGATGAGGAAATCAGCAACATCATTTCGCAAAGCCAATTCAGAGTTTAAGAATGTAAGGACCAAAACCAAAATGCTCCTGAAGGTACCTGTTTTTGAAGGAGGCGGTGGGGACAGCATAGAGCATGAATATGAAAAGGGCAGAAGTCATTCAGGAGTAGTGCCCAGCAAAAACCTCAGCAGCACATATAAAACTGCTTGTTATCTTTCAAAGAAAAAAAAAAAAAAGTCACCCATTTTGTCTCTGAGTTTCAGTAGCAATTACAGTAGCTAATATTTTCTGAGGGGTATGTGTGCCACAGAGGGTGTTAGGCGCATTCCATGTGCTATCTCATAACAACTCTATGAGATGGCATTTCTGTTCCCACCCTATAGGTAAGGAAGCAGGCTGACTGAGACAAAAGGACGGGCCCCAGGTCACGCAAGTGAGTGGAGTCGGAACTGAAACCCAGAAGTCTGCCCCTATAACCTCTGCTCTCAATCACCATCCTAGGTACTCCAAAACCTGCAGGAAACTTAAAGTGGGGTAAATCCCATCATAAGGAATCTGGCAAATGATTCCTGTGAAACTGGTGATTGATGCCTCTTTGGGGGCTTAAGAGAAGCTCCTCTTTGAAGGCACAGGAACATCCCAAGCCTAGAACAATCTTGTATCCATTTTATGACTGACAGTGACAAACAAGAGCCAGCTAGATAGCTCAGCAGACTAAGTGCCTACTTAGACAAGCACGGGGACCAGGGTTTGACTCCTGATAGTGCATGCTTCGTTGGTCCCCCACCGCCACCCTGGGCATAGTGGTGCAGGCCTGTAATCAGAGCCTGGCGAGGCTTAAAACAGGAGGATCACTGTAAGTCCGAGCTGTGTAGTGAGACCCTGCACCAAATGTATAAAAAAAATTTTTTTTTATTTTAAAGAAAGTAACGAACAACCAATAGCTGATTCCTGGGATGACTGAAAGAGAAACCCCCTCTCCATCTTTGAGAGGCAGCCCTGTTTCTCAGATTCAAGAGGGAAACACTGCACTCCAGGTGCACGCTTGCTCTCCTGGAGCCTCTGGCTCCTACACCCTGCTGCAGCTCCTTGGTTTGGCTGGGGCACAGAATCAGCCATCCCCAGGAAATGCCTCCCTCCGGTCCAGGCAGGGATCCCAACACACACCCTCTGTGGTGGTGGTGGGGGAAAGGAGGATGGCAGAATGCTTCCTCTCTCCAGGTCAGGGACCACCTGGGACTGCATCCCTTCCCCTCCCCCTTGCTGGGCAAGTGCCCAGTCCAGTGCCCCCTCCACAGTTACCACCCTCCACCCTCCTTCAAGCTGTGCCGGGCATGAATCAGCTCTCACAGCTTGTTAAACCTGGACCTCTTGTTTTCATGCCCTCACCTCAGGAAACAGAGTTAGAGCAGTTCCAGCTCAACTCAGCAGGGGGCCAGGGTCCTCACTTTATAAACATCCTCAGCCTATGAAAGAGGGCATGGAGATGGTATGAGAGGAGAGCCTGGGGAGAGAATCTAAGACTCAAGGAGCAAAGCAAAGCAAAGCAACGTCAAACTAACAAGACCGGAGTAGCCTCAAGAGAAGCCAAGAAGGGTCTGAGAAGGCCATACCACAGGAATGGTCCTAAGGATGCTCTGGGCTGGACAGACCAAGGGGACCCTAGGAGGCTGGGGGATCTGCTTGGTGGTGTCTCTACTTCTGCAGTACCCAGGAGTCCACAGCAAGTGTTATTTCCAAGCTCAAGGTAAAGTGGAGTGAGGGGTTAGGAAGGGACATGAATCCGGGTGAGGTGGGGAGCAGGGAGAGTGGCAGCAACAGCTTGGAAGTGATCCTGGGTCAGAGTACCCAGACTCCTTCCAACCATGAAACAGGAAAAGGAGAGTGAATACAGGGGTGGTATGCCCCAACTCTCTCCCACCCCCAGCCTTAGAAGAGACTTGTCTGCCACCACCACTCCCACACCACCACACCAACACTTCTCATTGCTTCCCAGCTCCCTGTTATTATGAAGGGAAATATTTCACCCTGGGTGAGTCTTGGCTCCGCAAGGACTGTTTCCATTGCACCTGTCTGCATCCTGTCGGTGTGGGCTGCTGTGACACGTGAGTAACCAAGAATGGCCAGAGGGAATGCCTCTGATGCAAGTTAGGAATGGCCAGAGGGAATGCCTCTGATGCAAGTTACAGGAGGGATGACCAGGAAGTGACTAAATAAGAATGAACAAAAGATCAGTTGGAGACTAGCCGGACCTGCAGATAGTAACTAAGAGTGAAAAATGTAAGCATTCAAGCCACAAAGTGAAAGAGACTGAGGTAGAGGTGAAACAAACATACCCTTGCTACAGAACAAAAATCTTTATATAGTAGAGAAGAGTTTAGGAGGACCAGGGGACACCAAAGGAGGATATGGGAAGACAGCGGTAAGAGGGGATAGGGCCCATAAAGGTGGCTGTTTACTGTGCTGACTCTCTCCCCATCCTTGGTTCCCCAGGTCTCAGCATCCCATTGACTTCCCTGCTGAGTGTGAGGTTCGTCAGGAGGCAGGAACCTGCCAATTTTCCTTGGTGCAAAAATCTGATCCTCGGCTGCCCTGCAAAGGCAGAGGGCCTGACCTAGAGTGGGGCTCAGCAAACACCCCTGTTCCTGGGGCTCCTGCTCCCCATTCCAGCTAGACTCACCTGATCACCCATCTGCTGACTGCTCACTGCTGCTGCCACTTCCAGAGAAACCACTAGAAGCAGCCAATTATTCTGAGTAAATAAATTAATGCTACAGCTCAAGGCCTGCCTCTCGTCTGCTTTTGGGCCCAAGGTGGAAAAAGTGGGGCCTCTTACAGCTCAAATGCAGAGTTCTTAGTATCCTGAAGAAAGCAGGGCCAGCATGGGTAGGTAGGCCAGTTTCAGATGGTTATGGTGCTGGTGCTGGGGCCTGGGGCAGCATATGAGGCCAGAGTGGGGCTTGTAGGCAGCACCTTGATGGGGAGGTCCCAGCTGAAGGTATCTACAGGCACCTGCTCAGGACCTGTCCAGGTGGCAGGTTCAGGCTGTTCCACAGGGGGCAGTAGCACCAATCCTGGTTCTCGGGATGTTACAAATTCAAAATGTAATCGCCACTTCAAGGACACTATGGAAGAAAAAGACCAATGTCGAGGCATTAGAATACAGCAAGAGTAAAAGCAATGACAGGATGTGTTAGTGAATGAGAAATGTGTTTACAAAGAGCTGAGGCAGTCCTGGGGCAGGGAGCTATGCCAGGACTTTTTTTTTTTTTTTTTAAAGAAATCCTCAGTGTTGACCAGAATCAAGGATAACAATGTTAACTACCTAATAATCTCAGTAAGGTAATCAAAATTAGACAGCTTTAAGTAAATGTACTAAGGCAAAGCATCACAGAGTCCCAGTAAATAGAAATGGGGAAAAGGATTCTACAAACCAGAGAAAGTTGGGGGGAGGGCAGCTCAGGGCATCTAAGAAATGGGAGTGAAAGCTGACAGTCTGAGGAAGTGTTAAGGGTCAGAGGATGAATGTGGGCACATCTGGAAGTACAGTAGGTAAGAATCAAGACCCATTACACTCTTCCTAAACACAAAGGTTTACCTGCCCCCTCCCTTCTCCGATAATGATCAGGATCTCACCAATGGCAGTGCAGAAGCCTGGGGTGGAGCTGAGAGGGATGGGGAGAGAGAAGCTGGTTCTGGTTGTATGTAGGCAGGACTCTTGGTGCCGGGCATGAGTCACATGGGACACAGAGGGGGCACCCCCTGCCCCACGGCGTCGCTGGTACTCAGGTTGTACTCGCTCCTCAGTCTGTAAACTTACTGAAAACTGGGAGTAAGAAGAGAGGTATAAAAATAAATTAAAAAATAAAGAAATAAAGAAGAGAGGTGCAAGCAGGCAGGCTTTTGGAAATAGGAACTGTAGGTGAGAGAGTACCCTAACTTCAAGTTATTTCACCAAAGGGACCCTGGGTGACCCCACCATCCCCTTCTCCATTCCATCCCTCCTTCTTCCACCCTAGCCCTACATGCCCAGCATCTCAGAAGCTCTTTCCTGCTCACCTGCAAACAAGCTACAGTTCCATCTCCTAAGTTTAAGGTCCCCACCACATCCTCGCCAAGTCTGTACACAGATTTGAAGATGCCAAATGTCCCAACTTTCCCTCGGCCATCACTGATATTGTACAGATCTGGGGAGAATAAGACACTGTAAGCCTGGAGTCTACATACAGAATGTCTAGGATCAGGTCCCAAAGGCCAAAAGGTGGGCTTCTCCTTGTAACCTGAGGTGAGATATCACTGGATCCATCAAACTATGCTGGCTAGGAAACTCTCTCTCAGTCAGGTATATTTTGAGGGAAGGGAAGGGGTGAGCAATTCTGAAACAATTCTCACGTAGGCTTCGGCAGGATGTGGCAGCCATGAGGCGCTCCCCAGCCAGCTCAGCTAGCCATGAGTCCTTCTTCCCACCTTCATCCTCCTCTAAGAATGGACTGGATGGGGCTACAGACTCATCCTGGGGAAATCGGACATCTTGAAGGCCTAGAGAAAATGAACAGAGAGGGAACACTGAGAGAAAACAGGGAATAAATGTTAGGTTTTAGACCTAATAGGACTAAAGGTACAGGGGGAGCTGTGGCTGAGATCCAGATCTCAACTAAGTCTTCAGAAGCCTCCTTCCCTCCCCAATTCCCTAGCAACCTCCCAAAGACCAGGAAGCCTCCCTGAACTCTTCTTGCAAGCCCTCTTAGACTACTTCTGTGTTGGCAAGGCTCTACCCTGCCCTTCCCTCTGGGAGCCCTTACTTACCAGTCAGCACAAGAACCCTCAAAGGGACCCTGAGTAAAGTGATGGGTGAGTTGACACGCTGGCAGCCAATGGTCAGTTTGTAGACATACTTGACTGACTGGCCCCGAAAGGAGGGTGGTCCCTCTATAGGCAGCACTTCATTGTAGGAGTCTGGTTGGGAAGCAGTAGTCAGAGCAGCTTAGAGGCATACTCTAACCAAAAGACTTAGAAGGCAATTCAGGAGTGGGGACAGTCACTCACATGATTTTGATTCTCCAGGATCTAGCCTCAGGTCACAAAATAGAATTTTTGGTGGGGTAGAAAGGATACACTGACCCCTTTCACCTACAAAGAGAAGACTACAATTAGTGACTTCATTGTCCAATAGTGGGCAAGGTTAATACACTAACTGGAGACAGTGAAGAACTGCAAAGCCTCTTGTTGTGATATTGAAATAGAGACTTACACTCTTAAAACTAGTTACTTCCCACCTCCATCCCTGATGTGACAGAGACTATGACACATAAGAACAACTCAATTTCACCTTTATGTGACAAGGACCCCACCACAATCCTTCCCAAGGCAAATGCCCTATTTCTAACCTCGGTGAGGCAGAAAGACAGTCTGGCTGTCAGGCTGAACATCTGGTTGGCTAGAGTCAGGGGGAGGCAGTACTACTCGGCTCTCACTGGCATGGAACTGGCAGTGTATCTGGGCACTGGCCCAGGCCAGGGCCTCACTGTGGGAAGAACAAAAGGAAACATTAGAGGACACTCCCTGATCTCACAAACTTCCTACCACATTGTGTGATGAAACTAAAATGTTTAGGTGGCTGTCCTAGCGATCAGGAAACCTAGAACCCTCAAAGAGAAACCATTAAACCAAGAATAGACTATGGATAGGAAAGGGAATGGGGGAGGGAGAGACAGCGAAAAAAAGCTTTGTCACCAACATCTTCTGTTAAATAACTCTTTCCTACAATGACAGCATAAATAGGACAGCCTCAGCTCTGGGAAATCACCACAGATACCAGGCTTCCTCCTCAAGGGCCACAACCTTTTCAGTATCAGCAACCCCACCTGGATGCAGAAGTGGCTGTAAGGGGTAGAGGGTTGGTCACAGTCACCACACACTCCAGAGCCTCCCCCGCCAGAAACACAGGACCCCGGCTCAGCTCTGCTACCACTTCAATCATGGCAGCTCCGGAATCAGGTCTAGAAGGAAACACGGATCACAGGTCAGCAGCATGGCAGGGTGGCAGTATCTTAGGTGAGCACCATGGTGAATGAACAGGATTAGGACCCAGGGGCGACCTGAGGGATGGCGCAAGAGGGCAGCGCCTCGGTGACGGAAGATCGGGATTTGTGGAGTGGTCAAGCGGATGGAAGGGCTACACACGCAGTACTTTCCCACGGAGGAAAAGTATTACTCAGACCCCAGACCTCCGTTCCCCGCAGCGCCAGGTTAGTTCCCCTACCCCTAATTTCCAGCTAGCCTCTATCTTCCCTTCCCCGAAAGCTCCAAGTCCCTAGCCTAAGAACACGGCCATCTGTCACCTGCCACGGCCAAAACCTGTCTCAAAGTCCCGAGACCCTCACCTGCCCGCCCCTTCGGGCCCCAGCCAGGTACGCGGTGGCTTCCACGGCCTCGCTGGCGCAGCAGAGGCGGGACTTCCTTTCAGTCCCCCCTCGTCTGCCTCTAGAGCCCCTTCCGGTCCAGCCAGCCGGATGTTTCCGGCCGGAAGGGGCTCGGGTGGTCTTGGCGTCTCGGGTCACCTTCCTACAGGCTGGCACCTGGGCGCGGGGGCTGCCCGGGACCCCGGCGGGCGAGACCTGGCGCCCAGCCCGGGAGGACTTGGAGCCGCGGCCCAGGGGCGGGGCCGAGGCCGCCGCAGCTCGGGCCGGGGGCGGGGCCTTGAGCGCTGGCCCCGCGGCTCCTCCCCTCTCCGATGGCCCCGTCTGCCTCTGGCTAGGCGAGCTCAGACTCACGGCCCAATGACGACGAAGCCCAACCTTTCCCGCCCAGGACCTAGAGACTCGACTGAAGGGGAGCCCAGGGCGGCTTTATTGCTGTCTCCGCTGCCGCTGCAGCGAGAGCTCCCCGGCTCTACTGAGACACCAGCTCATCTAAGCTTGGCCCAGCATCTGGCTCTCCAGGACGGCACCGAACTACAACCCGAGCCCGTATCTGGATTTGGTAGCAAGATACGTTGTATCAGAAGGCTCGAGACCCGAGGCCACCGAAGTCATCGGGACTCAGGAACTAGAAAACATGGGAACCGACGTCCCGGCGTCGGAGCAGATCAGCTCGGCCAAAAGGAATCTACAAGTTTATTGCCCTGAAGATGCTGCAGGCACCGCAGCTGTGCAGGTTACGGACAGCGAGATCCCTAAGGACAGTCGATCCCAAAATGAACCAGGCTATTGCAGTCCGGAAGGCTCTGGACAGCTAATGGATTCCTACGAGGGTAAAGCTAGGGGGTACCAAGTACCTCCCTTTGGTTGGCGCATCTGCCTGGCTCACGAGTTTTCAGAGAAGAGGAAGCCCTTTCAAGCTAACAATATCTCTTTAAGCAACCTGGTGAAGCATTTGGGCATGGGCGTCAGGTGAGTAGAACCCATTGCTTAGAATGTTCTAGGCTTCACTTTGTTCCATTCGAACACTTCCAGCAGTAAGAAAAGCAAGTGGTCCTAGTCAGGGAGTTCCCATTTCCAGCATATTTTAGGCCTGTGGTTTTTGGAGGATGAGGTCAAGTCATATCTCTTTTGCTTGTATTTTAATAGGCAAAAAGTAGAAACATTTGGTCCAGCAGTTACCCATTCTCCCTTAGGTTCTCTGTTATGTACTGGTTTTTCCTCCAAAGACTTCCCTTTACGATTAACTGTACTTTTTGGCAAGGTATGAAAGGATAATCCCCTTGTTGTGGCACTGACAGTATTTTAGTTGGGGGAAGAATTGTCAACTCAATTTGTCTGAGAAGCAGAAGCATTCTCTGTACCTTATTTAAGACTACGATGTTATTGTCTGTATCTATCTTCAAGCTTTCGCTCCAGGAAATAGGTGAGAGTTTGCCTATTGTCAACTCTAAGGAGGAGGTAGAGGTTCACTCTATCCTGGGAGAGACAGCTCTAATACAAAAAGCAAAGATGAAGCTGGTGGTATGCACCTGTTGTCCCAGCTACAAGGGAAGTGAGGCAGGAGGCTCATTTGAGCCTAGAAGGTTGAAGCCAGCCTGGACATCATAAGGAGAACCTGCCTCAAAAAAAAAGTAGGCGGTCAGTAGTAGATTGAAGTGCTGGAGCTATATTCCCAGCCCCCCACAGATCACTTGTGATCAGGTAGGCACTGCCATAAATGTTCCCAGAGCTGTTGATAATATTTTTCTGCAGCTTGCTGTGGCTTTTACCCCACCCCTAAAGGTCACAAATGCCTCAGAATTTATCCTGGGCTGTAGAAAGCCTCTGGAATCCCACTGAGTTTAAAGACATACCTATTAACAGGAACAGGTGGATGTGAGTAAAGCCAGAAAGCATAACCCTCAAGTCATCTTGAGTCAGTCCACACAGAAAACACAGAGCTGAGGAGAGAGGCAAGGGTTAGGAAACTCAGGCCTGACAAATTCTACAATATGGGACCCTTCACTTTCCCTGTCAGTGCTGAGGGGGTATGATGGGAAGACCATTTGCTTAATTCCAGTCCTGGGGAATAAAGAGCCTGGCACTGCCTGGATGTCTGGCTCTATTGCTGTTGCCTGTGGATGACAAGAGTAATTTTGACCCCCAAAGCTTGTGGGTCCAAATGGGACCTAGAATAGTGAAGACAGCGGGATGCATGTGGTACAGATAGTGAGATCAGGAATAGGTGGGAATCGTAGCCTCTTATCCACTGAATATGAGTTGAGTTAAAGAAGCCTGAAAGCTGTTGCTTAGCCCCTGGACTCTGGCTTCCCATACCAGTATAGGGTGGGAATCACTGACATTGACCTTTTGGGATGGAATGAGGTCCTGCTTTGAGAAGGGGTAAGACAAGAATCTGGAGTAATTCCTGAGCTGGGGTTGAAATCATGGAAAAGACCTACAGGTCAGGCATGGCCAGCTGCTAATTAAGTGCCTTAGCAGGTGAGAGAGTACTTAAGAGCAAACAGAACTGGGGACCCTCTGAACCAGAGCTCCAGCAAGACAGCTTTCTGGGTCTACCTAGGCTTGATAAAAGCTTTTTTTTATTGTTCTCCCTTTAGCCCGAATCCATTCATTAAGTATTTATTGCTTGCTTCAGCACATATAGTTCTTTTTTTCTATCTTCTTATCTTGTATTTCTTCTGACTCCTCTAATCCTGACTGTACTCACCTTTCCCCCAATCGTTTCTCACCTGGAGTTCCAAAGTCCAGTTTCCTTCCAACTGTCAGAAACTTGTGCTCCCCAGCATCTCACCCTTTGCCCTACCCTGCCCCAAGCCCTACCTCTCCTCCCTCTCCCATCTACTTCAGAATGTCCTTTGTATCACATTTTCCCTCCAGTTGCTCCAGCCTACCATTGCTGTGCTCCATTATTTGTATTCATTCCCTTATAAATTAAGCAAATATTTATGCACTGCAGACAATATGTTCTGCCCTATGCTGAGAGTAACAGTCAAAGAGTTTTTGCTACTCTTTCCCCCAAGGAACTGAAAATTTGGTCAGACTCACATGTGGAATGTTGAAATAACAAGGTATTGTCTGATTGGGAATTGAGATAGTAAGTACTAATCATGCCTGTTACGGGTATTCCCTTTTATGGCTTTCTTATCAGCTATGCCATCAGATGTTTCTGCTATTCCATGATAGCTAGGATAGGAAGTATCCCCATTTTGTAAATGAGGAAACTGAAGCTCCAGGGCTTAATTACTGTAGTTGGTTAAAATGGTGTGACTGAACATTTGGTATAAAATAACTGGGTATAGTGTTGTGCATACCTGTAATCCCAGCACTTGGGAAGCTGAGACAGGCGAATCACTGCAAGTTCAAGGCCAGCCTGGGCTACATACTGAGTTCAAGACCAGCTTGAACTACAGAGAGAGACCATGTCTCAAAAATCCAAAACAGGGGCTGGTGAGATGGCTCAGTGGTCTAAAGCACCTGTTTAGAACAAGCTTAGCACATGGACTGCGGTTCAGTCCCCCAGCACCACATGCCAGCCAGCCCTGCCCCCTGGTGGGCTGAGCTGGCCACACACACACACACACACACACACACACAAATAAATATTTTAAAAAATCCAAAACAAACAAACAAACAGAAAAAATAGTAATAATTGGGTTGAGAAGAGAGTGGAAGTGAGAAAGAGTCCATCAGGACAGCTTGCTTAGTGAGAACCATCCTGGATGAGAATTTGTGGGAAACAGTTTAGACAGCAGGTTGAGGCAGATGCCCTAGACTTAGAAGCAGAATTGTTTTACCTATTGGAAAAAATCTCCTGCCAGTTAGGGACAAGACAGGGACAAAACCAGGAAAACTTTGTTTTTTGTTTCTTTATAGGGTTATTATGAAAGAGCAAACAAAGCTTACAGACTAAAAGAGGAAATGGCCTGAAGTGTAAACACTGGTTCAATTTGGGTAAAATATTTTTTTTCCTTCTACCTGGTATATTCTCCAGTTTTTAACCTTTCATAACCAGGAAGAAAATTATTATTTTAAAAAGAATGCTATCTCAGCAGCCTATGCCTGTTTAAGAGGTGGGCTGTGGGTGGTGGAGAATGTAGGCCATGGAAGTATACCTGACCCTTTCAGCACCTCGGACAAAAGCTCTTGAGATTTTTAACTAAAGCAGTGGTATTATTTAGGAAAGTAAAAATCATAAAGCTCTTTCTGAGAATAAAGGGAAAAGGTGTTGGTCCTTGAACTGTAATCAAGTAGAGATGCAAAAGCCAGGGTGATGGGCCCTTGGGATATTCAATGGGAAGTCACAGCTGGTTGTCAAGAGAGGCAGCTGACTGCAGCCTGTGGTAGCTGCCTACTCACCTGTGCACTCACATTGTTCCTCAGGTACTTGAAGTGGTGGTACCGGAAGACCCAGGTGGAAAAGAAGAAACCATTCATCGACATGATCAATTGTGTACCCCTGAGACAGATCTATGGTGAGCCTCACCCCAGCTCTACCATGCTCACAGAGGGTCCAGTCCCCAGGTCTGGCACACAGTTTATGCATACTGCACTGCTCTGTCCCTAAGTTTTTAGAGATAATCTTTATAGTCTAGAAAGTGAGAATTGGGCTTGTCTTGCTCTCCCATACCCTACTAATCATCCTGATTCCTTGTATAGGTTGTCCCTTGGGTGGCATTGGTGGAGGTACTATTACCCGTGGCTGGAGAGGCCAGTTCTGTCGTTGGCAGCTTAACCCAGGAATGTACCAGCACCAGACAGTCATCGCTGACCAGGTAAGAGCCAGGAGGTGGGACAGTCCCAGACAAAGAAGGGCTTCTTGACTAGTGTGGGGTTTGGCATTTACACGTATGTATGATTCAAGCCACTAGGTACTTTTAGGATCCTTTCTGTGTGCCTAGCCTTGTGCTAGGATATACTATAGGGATACACACACACACACACACACACACACACATTCTTTGAAAGTGTAAGCTGCCCTGGCATTTTTCTAGTAAATACCTTCTACCTGCTTCACCCCTCAGCTATACTAGCTGAGTCAGCATTTGGCACATGGTATAGAGACTTCACATGCCTGAAAGAATATCTGGTAGGACCAGAAGAGAAAATAAAAGCCAAGGAAGGTGTACAA